AGTTGCTCTGCGCAAGTGCTCTGTGCCAGTTGCTCCGCGCAAGCGCTTTGCGCATGTGCTCTGCGCAAGTTGGTCTGTGCAAGTTGCTCTGCGCCTGCTCTGTGCAAGTTGCTCTGCGCAAGTGCTCTGAGCAAGTTGCTCTGCGCAAGGGCTCTGCGCCAGTTGCTCCGTGCAAGCGCTTTGCGCATGTGCTCTGTGCAAGTTGGTCTGTGCAAGTTGCTCTGCGCAAGTGCTTTGTGCAATTGCTCTGTGCAAGTTGCTCTGCGCAAGTTGCTCTGCGCAAGTGACTCTGCGCAAGTTGCTCTGCGCAAGTGCTGCCGGAGCTGCGGGGAAGTGCTCCGCGTACTACGTTTGTACTTGAAAGTTGCGATTCTCCAGCCGGAGCTGCGGGGGTGTGCTCCGCGTACTACGTTTGTACTTAAAAATTGCGATTTTCCACCCGGAGCTGCCGGAGCACGCTCCGCGTACTACGTTTGTACTTAAAAGTTGCGATTTTCAAGCCGGAGCTGCGGGGGTGTGCTCCGCGTACTACGTTTGCACTTAAAAGTTGCGATTTTCCAGCCTGAGCTGCGGGAGCACGCTCCGCACACTACGTTTGTACTTAAAAGTTACGATTTTCCAGCCGGAGCTGCAGGAGCACGCTCCGCGTACTACGTTTGTACTTAAAGGCTGCGATTTTCAAGCCGGAGCTGCCGCGGACCAGGGGGGAATCGAACCCGCGACCGCGGGATTGCGAAAGCAGGCGCGCAAACCACGAGACGACTTCCAAAGGCCGTTTCGCGAGCAAGAATATTGCACGGCGCCACAGCGAGAGCGCTTCGACACGCACAATCTCCGCAGAGCCCCTCAAACGGCCACCAAAGACATGCCAATAAACGAATCCCAGGCCACAAAATCTCGCAGGCCCGCGTGTCTGCGGGCTTGTCATGTTTTTTCATTCACCAATGGTCGACAATCTGTCCCGCAGTGGCTGCCTTCGACGGCAAGCCAAGCTTGCCGCAGCAACTTGCGAAGAAAGTGATTTCTACCCGGTCAAACACATATACAAAACTAAGCAAATCCATGACGAGGATTTGGATGACTTGCGAGCAAGCACTCGCGTTGCTGCTTTCCTGCAGTGGCCATCTGCGACGCCAAGCCCCACTGGGCCAGGGCAGCCTGCGAAGAAAGCAATTTCTAGCACATCCGTGCCCTGGTTCGTGCCAATCTGTCCCCCGAGATACGGGGCATAGCTCTTTGAAACGAATATTGCCTTGTGCTTTATGTTGCCGTCTGCGCCGGCTGAAATGTCCAGCTGTCTACACGTACCTAAACCTATCTATCTACTTATCTGTGTACCCATCTTAATCTAACTTCACCGGACGTGGCTGCGCAACTGCGCCGCGTGGCAGCATTTACCATCTATCTGTGTGTCACTTCGCTGTCCGTGGTGCCAAGTGCTGCAGCTCTTGGTGAAAAAGCATCCTGCGCGCCGCTCCAGCTGGACGTGCGACTTCAGTCCGGATGCTACGCGAGTGGTCAGCCACGCACGAAATCTGACGTAGAAAGCGCTCGCGCCCGCGCAGGCTCGTAAAGTTGCGCGCTTTGAGCGGGGCTTGTTGCACAGGCGTGCTCGTGAAGCAGCTTGCGCACACGCGTCAGCATCTGCGAAACGCATGCTTGCTCGCGCGCGCGCTGGAGCATGTAAACCACTCCTCTGGCGGCAACAAGTCCAGCCGGATGCACTCGCAGGGACAAGTTGCGCTTTTCAAAGCCGAGGCGCCGCGCATCGCTGAAAGAAGTCCCGCGCTGCTGGGTCATTTCCGGACTGTTCAACAGCTCTAGCAGACTTGCGCACGAAATGCAACATCAAGAATGCAAGCTGCTCAGTGGGTAGCGCGTGCCAACCGTTTCTCAACAGTTCGCATGGCTGGCGCGGTTCGGCAGGTATTTGATAGGCAGGGCTTCGGCTGGCCCTCTCCAGCTGTCTACACCTATCTAAACCTATCTTTCTATTTATCTAGATATCTGTCTTAATGTAACTTCAGCCCTTCAAAGAACGGACTCCACATGCAATTTTATTCGCGCGAGATGGGGGGCCAGAGGAAATCAACGCGGCAATGCTGTTGATTGAGGAGAATCTCATTCTAAAAGGGACCTCAAGCAAACTGCTGCGATTTTCCGCAGTAGCTTGTGCGGCTTGGCCCTACGGCGGAAAAGGCGCACCTTCGTAAGGTCCAGCCATGGCTTGCTTAGCGCGCGGCCCCACCCCGCCGCGCGCGGTAGCGTTCTCCGCTCCTACAATTGCCTGATGCTCGCTGTGGGCTAGAAGCGGCCCGTGTTGGCAAGCCACTCACACGCGCAAAGTGTGTTCGATGACGTGCGTTGGACATGGTCGGCCGCCTGTGACGGCAAGCCAGTCACAATTCGCGGTGGGTGGTGGTCGCAGTGGTTGTGGTGGTGGTGGTGGTGGCGGTCGTATAAGTTGTGGTGGTGGTGGCGGTGGTGGTGGTCGTGGTTGTAGTGGTGGCGGCGGTGGTGGTCGTAGTTGTTGCGGCGGCGGCTGTCGTTGTGGCTGTGGTGGCGGTGGCGGTCGTAGTGGTTGCGGTGGTGGTGGCGGCTGTGGCGGTCGTGGTGGCGGTGGTGGCGGTGGCGGTGGTGGCGGTCGCGCAGCCGCCACTGCCACCGCCACAACCACCACCAGCACCACCACTACGACCGCCACCACGACCACAACCACTACGACAGCGACCGCCACCACCACCACCACAACCACTACGACCGCTACGGCCACCACCCGCCACAACCACTACGACCGGACCGGTTGCGGCGGCGGTGGTGGTGGATGGCGGCGGTCGTAGTGGTTGTGGTGGTGGTGGTGGTCGTAGTGGTTGTGGTGGTGGTGGTTGTTGTGCTGGTCGTAGTGGTTGTGGTGGTGGTTGTCGTGGTTGTAGTGGTCGTGGTGGTGGTGGTGGTCGTAGTGGTTGCGGTGGTGGTGGCGGTGGTAGTCAATGTGGTTGTGGCGGTTGTAGTGGCTGTGGTGGCGGTTGTAGTGGTTGCGGTGGTGCTGGTGGTTGGCGGCGAGGACGGTTTGCCGCGGGCTGTGGTGCTCGCAGAAACGCGCCAATGCTAGCATAACCTGTTGACCTTCTCCACCATGGCTGCGCCTGTTCACGCCAGTCATGTTGCCGTCCAGTCCTGAAAGGCTCGGCCTCCCAGTTCTCTGAGGGCGCAAATCGAACGGACAGCCCGAATCGAATGAGGAAATTGGTAGATGTAAAGGACTCCATGATTTATCCCGAAAGCATTGCAAAGGTTTCCCCGTGCGGAGCTGAAAGTTATTTAGCGTCTTGCGAATTCTGATTTGCCCACGCGACCCTCTGCGTAGATGCGCGTGGTCGATGTTGAAAAACTGAGGACTTTTACGATTTCTGCGCTGCCCCACGCAACCCTCTGCGCAGATCCGCGTGGTCGATGTCCAAAAATGTGGGCTTCTTACGCTCCCGCGCAACCCTCTACGGAGATGTTAAAAACTGAGACGTTTCACAGCTTGTGAAATGGCATTTGGAAGTTGTCTCGTGGTTTGCGGCTCGATTCCCCCGTGGTCCGTGGCAGTGCGTTCTCATGGCTTGGAAAAGTGCGCGTCCCGCAGTTCTTGTGAAAAAACCGACAAAACGGAGCACGCGAAGTGTATTCCCCCAGCTCCGGCTCAAGGGCCGCAATTTCCAAGTACACAAGTAGTGCGCAAAGTGCCTTCTTCTAAGTGCGGCTAGAGCGGCTGCGAACTTCACCTGCAAACTTCGTTTGCTAACTTTTCGAGAGTTACTGCGCCTGCCAACTTCTCGTTTCAACTTGTCGAGATTACTCCACCGCCAACTTCTCACGCCAACTTTTCAAGAATTGCTTCACCTACCAACTTCTCAGTACGCGGAGCTTGCTCCCGCTGCTCCGGCTGGAAAATCGCGATGTTCAAGGACAATCGTAGCACGTGGAGCGTACTCCCGCAGCCGGCTGGAAATTCTAACTTTTAAGTACGCCGTGCGAAGGACCGATGCCAAGTCGAGCTAAGTACAAGCTTAGTACGCGGAGCGCCTCCGCAGCTCAAGCCGAGCAGCTTGTGTACAGACACAAGCGCTGAGCATCTTGCGGAGATTAACTTCCGCAGGGCAACGTGCGCAGTGCAGTTTGAAGACAGATGTCGAGCCATTTGCCCGCAGCAGCTTGCAGAGAGCAACTTGCGCGCAGCAGCCTTGAAAAATGCAGCTTGTGCAGACCACTTGCGTGAGAAATCGTGCAGCGCAAGTTGCGCAAAGCGCGTTGCGCTGAGCAGAATTGCGCTGAGCAGACTTGCGCAGAGCCAACCTGCGCAGAGCCAGTTGCAGAGAGTTAATCGCGAAAGGTGCCTTGCGCAGAGCCAAGTTTCACAGAGCCAGCTTGCGCAGAGCTTGCAAGAGCCTGCTTCGCAGAAACTGTGGCCGTCTATAGTGGGCCATGTGCTTTGCAGACACGCTTGCCGCATCGATGTAAAAGCTGTCTCTGCGGCTGGAAGAGCACTTCGGGAAAAATGCTTTCGGGCCAATCGTCGGACTTGAGCCCAGCGGCTCCCCTTTCCTTCTTGGGTTAAAGTCTACCTTGAGGTAGTCACAAAATGGAGCCTTGCCGAGTCTTGTTGACGCCACGCGCCCGCCAAACGATTTGGGCGAACGGTGGCTGTGAATTTGAAGAGGGCACCTCCAGAATATGGGCATTGGTATGTGTCAAAATAGGTTTTTCTTTTGGTTCCCCTCTGAACCAACCGGAAAAGGGACCCCTCCAAAACACACGGCTCCAAGTCAAAAAGCGCGAGCCCGCGATAGGTAAACAAACTTTTGTTTTTGCCGGCAAGACAAGGCTTTCTGTTGTTCCCGTGGTACTTGCCAAACATGGTACAAACACAGAAGTGCACACACGCTTGTGGAAGACGAACTTCCTCTTGGCAAGGAAGGGTAATTGGCATGACCGACTTTGTTTCTACGCCTGAGGCCCGCCTTTCGTTCCGACGAGCCGCGGGGTCCGAGGCGGCACGGGGGTCATTTTTAGTTCTTATGATACCGTGGGCACATGTCAGAACTTCTGGTCGTTACTCCTTGGGTACATTAGGCCATGCTTAAAGGGTCATGAAGGCTCCCGGGAAATGTTGATCTTGGATTCAATGAACCTGGTGGATGCGCAGAGGGATGTTTACATATGAAGGCCGGTTGCAGCCCATCAGACAACCATGGAGGCATCAGTCCTGTTGTTTTTTCTTCTGCGCTTTTGTATTTCGGTAAGCCCGAAGCAAACCGAACAAGATGTAAAGGAGGCCAAACCCCCCGCCTTGGTCATGGAAACCTCGGGTTGTCAAGGACAAGGATGGAACCGGGAGAGGGTGGGTGGGTGCGATTTTCACGTTATCGTCCTTTTGTCCTGTGGAAAGCCAGGAGCCCGCTGCGCAAATTGGTCGGAAGTAGGGGGCAACTTTGTAGCACCTTTCCGTTCGAAATCCTGTTGCCCTCAGTGACGGAAGCCCCACTTGTATGCCACAAATAGAAGTGCGCAGACCCCTTGTGGAGGACTACTTTTTTGTTGGAAAGGGAGGGTTGCTGTGCGCTTCCATGTTTGTTGCCTTCCCTGTTCTCATCCTTGCTTTTGGACCATGGACTCCCCACAGTCCGCTCAGGGGACTTCGGCTTTTTAGAAGGATGGATGAAACAACTGGGATCAAATTGTAGGGATGTGTGGTATTCACTTATTCAGGGATCATCATCAAACAAGCACGGGTTTTTCGTTAACACAGGACGATTCTAAGAAACAAGGTCACGCAGCCATTAGCGGTTTGGACCGTTTTGCAAAGCGGCACCAACGCCTTCCCCTCAAACGACTTTGGAAGTCATGCTGCGCCTGCACGGACAGCATTATTTTGAGAAGAAGCACTGAAATGCTGATGCAGAGCATCCACGGTTTCCGCAGGCTCTCGCTGCCAGCATGCTAGGAGTGGTGGCAAGCTTACGCAAGCCAGTCGCAAGAGTAAGAGCCTCGCCGTCTGCGGTATGTGTGCAAATCTCAACTCGAGTCCATGCACATGTCCAAGAACACATCTGGAAAAATTGACAGCGTCGAGTCTGAAACATTGAAACGGTTGCCCCCAACAAACCGCACAGCTGGGAGAGGAACCACCCCACCCCACCCCCACACCTCGTGAGCTGTTTGCGGCCGTGCCAATGGCGAACGCAAAGACACGAGCGTTTCGGCCCACGCAGCTAATGGTGGCGCGAGCAGAAACAACTAACACAAGGGCGGAGACTTGTGTGTTGATTTGGTTGTTCAATAGATCATGGAAATCTCTCTGATCAGGGCGGGTAATGACTCACCGGCCGATCTCATTCATGAGGAGTCCATCCAACGCCCGTGGTCCCACAGCAGCTCAAATATCAGAAGCTCAAATGTCCCCTTTGATATTGAGCCCTTGTCAAAATGTTCAAAAACGTCAAAAGGATAGCCTAAATCATTCCACGTGGCAGTGTTGCCTTTGAAACATGAAGTCGGACCGCGTCCAATCTGACAGGCGAAATTTGCTTCTAGGGTGATGTTCGATTCGTCGATTTTTTTGAATCCTCCGTCGATTGCAGCCAAAAGGAATCCCCAGAGGGCAAAACCACTTAATCGGGCCTTCAAATGTGCGCTTTGCGCCAGGCACCCGCGTGTCCAACAGGGTGAAGGCGCAGAACCCGGTGGTTTGCTTCCTCTGCGACGTCGGCCTGCCGCAGTGCACTGAACCGCACAGAGGGCGGACGTTTCTCATCCTTTTGCGGGGTTCCTCGGTAAAGGAACAGTGTGAACCCCTGAGGGTACAAAGGACTCTTGGCAGAGGGGCCTAGGCTCAACTTGTCCAGGGAAAAGGGTACCCATCGGGGAAGGGCCATATGAGGATACCCTTTTGGCAGATGGACAGATTTCGGACATGGAAGACTTGGGATGACTTATTAGAGACTCAATTCCTTGCTTGCTTGCGTTTCCAGAAAGAGTCTTGTTCTTGCTTCTGCGTGGCGTCATTCCCATGATTGTCTCACAACCGGGATGGTCCTTTGTTTTGGGTGGCGCTTGGGGGGTGCCAAAACAAACCATTTTGGGGGTCCTTTTTTTGACAAGTGCTATCCATTTGCCCAAACAAACACAATACAATGACAACATATTATTCATTTAAATTGAACACATTCATGACACACCATTAGGAGTTGAATTCCCTTGTCCCACGATAGACAACATGGATCGTTGCCAGCCACCAGACGGGCTTACCAACTACTCCTTTTTTAAGTCCCGAAGCAGAACTCCTAGCCAACTACATAATTTGCTTATACTGCGCGATCGGCATGACTCAAGTCAAAGCGAGACCACGGAGGTTGTTGGCACAATTGCCAGTAGATGTGAAACAAGCGGTTGGCCGAGCCCTCGTCAGTTGAGCCCTCTGCCTTGAAACTTACCTGAGTGACCGTCACCATGATTGTGAGCAGCCCAGGTTGCTTCAGGCCGTTTGTTTGCTCTGTGGAGTGATTGCCCCGGAGGTATGTGGATGCGATGCTACGGAATGGCTTCGATGACATGGAAACCTTGGCTGACATGAAGGAGGCAATGAGAATAAACAGGGGCTGGAGCATCAGGAAGTTGGCCGGAGCATCAGGAAGTACCTGGGCAAAAACTCATTTCTTGGGTTCGGGCAGTGTGGTAGAGAACTTGGCCCTGCAGCAAGCCCCCTTCCCCTTTCAGCTTTTCCACACGTGAACCGCCCGAAACGGATTGCGCCAAACCCAACTTTTCTCGATGTATCCGCGTTTGAACCGCCAAAGAGCACTTCGGCGCCGGCCCGTGAATCCGCGGCAGCCACGAGGTTTTGATTTGCACGGCAGCCACGGGGATTTCGATCCCGGACATCCTTGTAGCTCCACTTTCTTTGGATGAGAGAGGAACATGCGGAATTTGCGGCCTTGATCTCACCGCATCCCCGTTAAGGTACTGCTAAGTCCGATGAATTCAGAGGACCGGAAATATAAGTTCTAAAGTATCGTTTCCCACTCGAGGAGAACAACCTCGGATTGCTTTGGTGCTACATGAAAACATTTGTTTGGTTGTTTGTTTTCAATAGGGCTTCACATATGTCCTCTTTTTTGGCTACAAGAGATGGCTTGTTGCAAAGGCACGCTTAAATTAACGTGAGTTCCCGTAGTTTCCCTTTTGGTTTGCTTTGACCCCCCTTTGAGTGCAAAACTAAATGCTCCGCGGCTCATTCCTCGCGCTTTCGGCCATCAGTTGGCACCCTGTTTGGTGACCAACCAAAAGGGCCCCCAAAAGCGCTACAGAAGAAAGCCAAGCAAAAGTAACCCTGGAGGAGCACATGAAGTCGATGGGCTTCCTGCCGGGCCACGCTCTGAAGCTTAAGAAGAAGCTGGCGCACTTGGGAGGCTCGGGCTCGATTCGTGTCTTCTGATTTCCCGGAAAAAAACATCCGGAAATGTTTTCCCGTGATCAACCAAGGAGTTCAACACTGAAGCAGGGGGTTAAATAGACCAGGGGTTTAATAGTCAACCCCCCAATCAATCAGAGGTTTTTGAATCAACGCAGGAGTTATTCATTTAGGGGGCGCTTAATCGACCAGAGTTTTGTCAATCCAAGCAGGGGCCTCTGCAAAAGGCTGTCGCCGCTCCCAAGTGACCGGGGACGGCGTTGCAGTCCGTGTTGATGCATGCGATCAACCTGTTCGTAAGTGATGCGTGCAAAGACATGGCTATGATTTGAAATGGTTGGAACGCCCCCCCCTAAAATAAAATTAAAAAATAAAGAGAATAAATAAAGATTTGGCGGACATGAATCCCCATGCATATAAACCACAGTTCCCATAACTCCTGGTACTCAAAAGGACCTGCGACACCCACAAACTTGGAATCTGTTGTTGGAGGCGTGTTGATATTAGGCCGTTGCGTTTTTGCAGGTTTCGGCCCTTTCTTGGGGCTGGGGTGGGGGGGCGACATCGTTCACGAGCTGCACGGCCCCTGCCGTAGCTGCTCAGCGGCACGGACACCTCTTCTTGCGATGCTTTTGCTCTTTCTCTTGTTCTTTTGCTGAGGCTTACCCTTCCACACTCGTGCTTGCTGCTTGGTGTTGCTTGGCTTGCTGACCCCTTTTACACTTGGATTCCCGCATGACTCTGACTGGCACGGACCCTGTGACTGCCTTCGTTCGTTCTACCTCCTCCGTCCGGGGATCTGCTGGCAACAACTTTGCCTTGTCTCCTTCCTGTGAAGCATGACAAGAATGAGTGGACACGCGCCGTAAAGCGCAGGAAGGTTCCCAGGAATTCAGCGCATAGACCGCGTAATCTCTTCAGAAGTTTTTGCCCAGTTCTGTGAATAGCAAAGCAGGGCGTGGCCAAGGTGTCAGCCCTCGTTTGCTGCAGTACAAATTCAGTATTGTTTGGAGAATAAGCACATTGAAAGATGATTGTGGTCTTATTCAAACGTTGGCGCGCATCGCATGGTTATTCTCGAAACTTAGGCACTTCTTGAACCGGAAGGCATAAAACGCTGCAAAAACCGTGCGATTGTGGGGTCGGAGGCACGAAGCCTTGTTTTGTCACCTTTCAAGACGGTGCGTGCGCAGTTTTTGTAAAACGCAGTGGAGCAGGATCTTGCTGAGGTGCAAAAATGGCCGCCGCTGCGCAGCTTTTTATCAACGCGTGACCCTGTTGCTGGGCTTGGCAAGCCATTGAAATGACCGCTGCCTCAATGAATAAGTGTTTCAACCAGGCAAAACTTGAACTTGAAAATTGTTGGTCAGTCGTTGGAATTTGGGGCTTTAGAAGGCCGCGTGCGGCGATAAAGTTCTGGTTTGGGTTGTCGGGGGCCACGTGGGTTTCGGCCAACAAGGATTTTCACGAGCGGTTTGGCCTTGCAGGTTGGATTTGTGACGCTGCAGAAGCCACGCCGACACCCTCCCTGAAGAGCCTTCCCGATGATGCGGCCGCCAGACCGCAAGATTCAGGAGCCCATCGCCCCGATCAAGGTATTATTTGGCTTGGATGTGGAGCCGGCAGAGCCGGTTGGCACATTCTTGCTCTTTGTCTGTTTCTTCTCTTTCTTTTTTCCCGGATGCGTAGCGAAGGGTGGAGGCCGTGTTCGGGAGGAGTTGCTCCAGAGTTCGCAACCGTCCGCAACCGTCCGCAACCGTTCGCAACCGTCCGCAACCGTCCGCAACCGTTCGCGGTGAGGCGATAAGCGTGTGCCATCAGGATTCGTCGTGGAAGCGTGTTTTGGATGGATCGGCAAGTGCTGTTTTCATTGGCCCTGTGTGCGAATCGTAGCTTTTCAAGCTCGACGTGTGGTTTTGCTGCGCAGGCGCAGTGTTTTGGAAGGCTGCGTATTCTCGTTGCCTTGCCATTGGGATTTGCGATGACGCCGTTTTTGTTGGCCCTGCCGTAGAATCGGCTCTAGTTTTGGATGCGTGTCGTAAACGTGTCAAAGTTGGATTTCGTGGCAGGCGCAGCAGTTTGGATGATTTTGAGTTTATAACAAGCTTACTTTGCGTGACAGGAGCAGCACTTTCGAGCGTTTTGGTTATTTTGGCTGAATTTCATGGCAGGCGCGGCGCTTTGGGGTGTAGATTTCGTGGCAGGCACTCAGCGAGATCGCCCTCGCTGTGGCACGGGTGCACATTTTGAGAACGCAAAGCCAACCATTTGCGCACTTTGGGTGGGTCGAATCGCTCTCGCTGTGGTGCGGTCGCTCCCGCTGTGATGCGGTGCACATTTTGCGAACGCGAAGCGAACACTCTGCGCACTTTGGGTGGCTCAAATCGCTATCGCTGTGGCGCGGTGCGCAGTTTGAGCGTGCGAAATGAACCCTCTGCGCATTTGGGTGGGTCAAATCGCTCTCGCTGTGGCGCGGTGCGCATGTGGAGACAGAAGTGTCGTTCAGAAGTGTCGATCGCAAGTATCCATTAGAAGTGTCGTTCAGAAGGGTCGATTAGAAGTGTCGTTCGGAAGTGTCGACAGAAGTGTTGCTCGGAAGTGTCGATCAGAAGTGTTGCTCAGAAGTGTCGATCAGAAGTGTCGAACAGAAGTGTTGCTCAGAAGTGTTGCTCGGACGTGTCCCTCAGAAGTGTTGTCAGAAGTGTGGATCAGAAGTGTTGCTCAGGACTAGAACTGTTGATCAGATCAGAAGTGTGGATCAGACGTGTTGCTCAGAAGTGTCAATCAGAGGTGTGGTTCAGAAGTGTCGCTCAAAAGTGTCGCTCAGAAGTGTCAGTGAGAAGTGTCGAACAGAACTGTTACTCAAAAAAATCAATCAGAAGTGCGCTCAATCGACGATGAGGAGCGTGGATCAGAAGTGCTGATCAGAAGTGTTGCTCCCTCAGAAGTGTTGCGCAGAAGTGTCGCTGTGAGGTATCGATCAGAAGTGTGGATTAGAAGCATCGATCAGAAGTGTTGCTCAGAACTGTCGATCGTGGTGTCGGTCAGAGGTGTCGATCAGCAGTGTCGAATCAGCAGTGTTGCTCTGAAGTGTGTGTGCGAAGTGTTGCTCAGAAGTGCTCAGAAGTGTCGATCAGAAATGTGGATCAGAAGTGTTGCTCATCAGTGTCAATCAGAAGTGTGGCTCAGCAGCGTAGCCCAAACTATCGGACAGAAGTGCGGATGAGAATAAGTGTTGCTCAGAAGTGTCGATCAGAAGTGTTACTCAGAAAAGTCGATCAGAAAAAGTGTCGCCAGAAGTGTTACTCAGAAGTGTCAATCAGAAAAAGTGGTTCAGAAGTGTTGATTAGGTGTCGTTCAAGAGTGTCGCTCAGAAGTGTCAATCACAAGTGTGGGTCAGAAGTGTTGTTTAGAAGTGTTGATGAGAAGGGTTCCTCAAAAGTGTCGCTCAGAAGTGTTGCGCAGAAGTGTCGCTCAGAAGTGTAAATTCAGCAGTGTTGCTCAGAAGTGTCGTTCAGAAGTGTCGATGAGCAGTGTGGATCAGACGTGTTGGTCAGAGGTGTTGCTCAGGACTGTCGATGAGAAGTGTGGATCAGAAGTGTTGCTCATCAGTGTCAATCAGAAGTGTGGTTCAGCAGTGTTGCTCAAACTGTCGATCAGAAGTGTCAATCAGAAGTGCGGATCAGACGTGTTGCTCAGAAGTGTCGATCAGAAGTGGTCGCTCAGAAGTGTTGCTCAGAAGTGTCGATCAGCAAAAGTGTGGTTCAGAAGTGTTGATCAGGTGTCGCTCAAAAGTGTCGCTCAGAAGTGTCAATCAGAAGTGTTGCTCAGAAAAGTTGATCAGAAAAAGTGTCGCTCAGAAGTGTTGTCAGAAGTGTCGATCAGAAAAAGTGTGGTTCAGAAGTGTTGATCAGGTGTCGCTCAAAAGTGCCGCTCAGAAGTGTCAATCAGAAGTGTTGCTCAGAAAAGTTGATCAGAAAAAGTGTCGCTCAGAAGTGTTGCTCAGGAGTGTCGATCAGAAGAAAGTGTGTTTCAGAAGTGTTGATCCGGTGTCGCTCAAAAGTGCCGCTCAGAAGTGTCAATGAGACGTGTGGGTCGGAAGCGTTGCTCAGAAGTGTTGATGAGGAGGGTTCCTCAAAAGTGTCGATCAGAAGTGTCGATCAGAAGTGTTGCTCATCAGAGTCAATCAGAAGTGTGGATCAGCAGTGTTGCTCAAACTGTCGATCAGAAGTGTCAATCAGAAGTGCGGATCAGACGTGTTGCTCAGAAGTGTCGATCAGAAGTGGTCGCTCAGAAGTGTTGCTCAGAAGTGTCGATCAGCAAAAGTGTGGTTCAGAAGTGTTGATCAGGTGTCGCTCAAAAGTGTCGCTCAGAAGTGTCAATCAGAAGTGTTGCTCAGAAAAGTTGATCAGAAAAAGTGTCGCTCAGAAGTGTTGCTCAGAAGTGTCGATCAGAAAAAGTGCGGTTCAGAAGTGTTGATCAGGTGTCGCTCAAAAGTGTCGTTCAGAAGTGTCAATCAGAAGTGTTTCTCAGAAAAGTCGATCAGAAAAAGTGTGGTTCAGAAGTGTTGATCAGGTGTCGCTCAAGAGTGTCGCTCAAAGTCCTCAAAAGTGTCGATCAGAAGTGTCGATGAGGAGTGTTGCTCAGAAGTGTCGCTCAGAAGTGTCGATTCGGCAGTGTTGCTCAGAAGTGTTGCTCAGAAGGGTCGTTCAGAAGTGTCGATGAGAAGTGTGCATCAGAAGTGTTGCTCAGAAAAGTCGGTGAGAAAAAGTGTCGGTTCAGAAGTGTTGATCAGGTGTCGCTCAAAAGTGTCGCTCAGAAGTGTCAATCGGAAGTTGTGCTCAGACGGCTCGCTCAGAAATCCAGTGCGCGCTGGAAAATCGCGACTTTGTTGTACAAGTCTAGCGCGCGAAGTACAGGTTTCTAGCTCTAGCTGGAAAATCGCGACTTTGTAGCACAAGTCTAGTACGCAAAGTACAGGGCTCTAGCTCTAGCTGGAAAATCGCGACTTTGTAGTACAAGTCTAGTGCGCGAAGTACAGGTTTCCAGCTCCAGCTGGTAAACTGCGACTCTGTAGTACAAGTCTAGTACGCAAAGTACAGGGCTCCAGCTCTAGCTGGAAAATCGCAACTTCGTAGTACCAGCTCGGAGAATCGCAACTTTGAGGTACAAGTCTAGTGCGCGAAGTGTGCAGGTTTCCCAGCACTAGCTGGAAAGTCACAACTTTGTAGTGCAAGTATAGTACGTGAAGTACAAGTTTCCAGCCCTGGCTGGAAGATCGCAACCTTGAAGCAAGTATAGTACGCGAAGTACAGGTTTTGAGCTCCAGCTCGAAAATCGCAACTTTGTAGTACAAGTCTAGTACGCAAAGTACAGGGTTTCAGCTCTAGCTGGACAATCGCAGCTGTGTAGCGCAAGTCTAGTGCGCGAAGTACCAGGTCCGGCTGGAAAATCGCAACTTTGTAGTACAAGTCTAGCGCGCGAAGCGCAGGTGTCCAGCTCCAGATTGAAAGTCATAGCTTTGTAGCAACAAGTGGTACAGTTTCACAAGCTGAATAACATAGTTTGAGCAGCAGGCTTGATTGCGAACCCCCAGTGGCTTATACCAAAAAATGTTCTCTCTAATTATTTTCTTGGGTTTGCGCAAATGGGCTCTGTCTTGTCTCTTTCTTTTTCCCCTTTCTCTTTCTTTTGTCTTTCCTTCCTTTTCCTGGCTGTTTCCACAGCCTGCTGGCAAAGCTTTGCCACGAAGCGTTGCCCTCACAGCCGATACTGTCTTGGACATTCGCGTTCGGACAGCAGGTCTTGGCCCGAACCCAAGGGTGCAGGGCTGGAACGGAGGATGTGTGGATACCACTACTGGTCCTGCGCAAGAAGTGGCGTTCAAGGAGCCGCTGATGTCTAGGCTGTGCTCTGTACGCGCGTGTCCGGCATTGGTGAGTTCGTTGCTTCTTGCAGAACTCCAACCCTAGTGGCGGGAGGGACGGTCACCCTGCAGCGCACTTATCCATCCATCCATCCATTCATCCATGCCTTCCTGTTCTCTTTCGCCTTCTCTTCTCTTTTATTATGTCTTCCTGTTTATGTTTCTCTTGTTTCTCTCTCTTTCTCTCTCTCCGTCTCTTGCTCTTTATTTTTCTCTTTGTGTATCTCTCTCGCTATCCGTCTACCTGTCTATCCTTTTATCTTTCTATCTATGTGTCTATCTATCTATCTATGTGTCTATCTATCTATCTTTCCATCTGTCTATATAACCTATCTATCTATCCATAGTTATTTCCCTCTTTCTTTCTTGCTTTCTTCCTTTCCTATCTTACCTACCCCATCTATCAGTCTATCAGCCTGTCTGTTTTTCCCATTCATCTATCTACCCATCTATCGATCTATCTAAGCATATGCTCTATGTTCTTTATCTTTTCCACCTTATCTGCCCCAACTATCTATCCATCCATGTACCCATCTATCTATCCCAATTATCTATCTATCTATCTACCCATCTGCTTATCTACCTACGACCTATTTATCTTATCTATTTATCTTTCTCTCGTTCTTAACCATCTACTCTAGCTTGTCCTCTGATATGTCTGATCTATCTCTGTGTCAATCGATGATTCCTGTGTGTCTATCGATAATTGTTTCTATCTATCTCTGTCTACCCATGTATGTATCTATCAATCCTCTGCTAGCTCTTTCATCTTTGTGTTCCACGTTTGCATTTGTCTATCTCTTTGTTTACCTATCTATGCTCTTTCTGTACAACCTATCTATCTATCTATCCCTTTACACGTCCACCTATTCATTTGTCATTTGAAAGTTCCCATCTATCTGTTTCTCTCTGCATCAACCTTTCAACTTTTCTGTCTTTTGCATCTATGTATGTATTCACATATCTATCTATCTATCTATCTATCTATCTATCTATCTATCTATCTATCTGTCAGTCTATATATCTACGAAAGCGCTACCTGACCTTTCGAAAGTGCTGCGCCTGCCAACAAATCCATGGCCTCGCAAAAGTGCTGCGCCTGTCTACCTGTCCTTGCAAAAGTGCTGCGCCGGCCACGGAATCTTCGCTGGATTTTGCGAAAAAACAGGTGTCGCGCCAGAGGTGGTTTGCGCTTTTCCGGAACATGCGAAACACGCACAAGGCGCTTCCTTTGAGGCTTTCTAGCTCAAGGTGCTGCGCCCGTCACAAAACCTTTACCTGGCCTTGCGAAATGCGCCTGCCAGAGATGCCAACCTTGGGAAGGCTGTGTTTAAGAGGGAATGCCAAACACGATGTTTCATTTCAGAATATTCAAAGTTATTCTCTGGTTGTTGTTTAGTTTCCTCCGAACTCCTTTACACCAAACATGTTCACCAAAAACCGACAATTCAGAGAGAAAGCGTGTGAGCTGGGGCTGAATGAGCTTGTAAGAAGCTGACATTTTCTAGCGTGCCCTCTTGCCCAGCTCTTGGGATAGGAGACCGGCGTTCTCAATCCCAAAGTAATGCGCTGCAGTCGTTGGAAGGCCTCAGCCAGCATTTGCGGTGAGTTTGCCACCCATGACCAGGGGTCCGCATAACATCGTGGTTCCACGCCACAATGAGCTAGAACACATTCTGTTTGGCCGCAGCTTCCGGGCTGAGTTTGGATTGGGTTGGCTTGGCTGGAACCCATTGAGTGATTGTCGCTTACTGCCCCTTGCCGGGCTTGCTTTGGTGCTGAAAGCCCATTTCCTTGTTCCCACTATTTTGTTTTCCCTGAGGTCAGAAAGTTCCGCACGCCTTGGATCCCCCGCAAAACTCCTAGCGCGAAAGGATTTGGCCCCCTTCTGACTTGGTATCAGGGATCAAGTAGTTGGCCACCCTCTTTGCCCAACAGCCAGGCGCCATGGCCCAGTCCCGTCGCGCCTCGATGACATGTTCCGACTCAATTCATGTTTTCGTCTTTGTTTGCGTGGACTCAAATTTCAGCGCGGCAAGCTTATTTTCACCGTGAAGAATGTAATATTGTAGTGATGTTTCCCTCTAGCTCGTTGGTTCTCTAAAATCTTGTTACCCACGGGGTCATTGAACAACGGTCGAATGGCAGGCGTGGGGCCTTGCAGAAACCAAGAAGGACACACAGTGTTTCACGTCACAGTCGCGTCGCTGCAGCTAGCCCACATCCAAAAAAGAGCGTCTAAAGTAGTCTGTTTCGCCAAAACTTCACGGATCAGCTGCCCAAAAGGGAGCCAGCTCGGCGCGCGCGCGGCCATCTGCAGAAGCGCGACATGTGTTCGAGCGCACGTAAGCGTGACCCCATCCCCCTGTTTTGTGTTTCTGCAGGCCGCTGACCTTTAGGAAATCGCATTGCACCGCTTACGCAGATTGGCTCAGGGTCCCTTCTTCTAGCCATAGAAGAAGACCTCGCTGCGCTCGCTCTCAGCACATACGCACATATGCAGGGACTGCCGCAACAGTTTCAGGTCATCACACTCTTGTTGAGAAATAGATCCAGGGCCACTAGAGACTGCTACCCGCTTTCGTGTGACGTGAAAGTTAGATGAGGATCTTTTTGATAAGTAAACCTCTTTCATCACTGTTGAATCAGAGCGCTGGGGACCCTCCTCAAGAGCAGAACCACGGGTGACGCACTCATGTACGGCAAGCTTTTCGGCGACGCTTGGCTAAGAGATCCAGCACAAGGGTCAACTACTTCAAGGCCACGCTGGAGAAGTACTTCCGAAAAGGCACGGCCAACGTTTTTATCGACCCGTCAGCTTCTTTAATCGCAGAAGGCACAACGCAGAGTTTCTGATTTCATCTCCAAGTTTCAGATCTTGCTACGCCGACTGAAGGCAGCACGGAATGGTCTGATGCCCATCATCACGGCGGCCGCGCCCTCAGCAAGCGCCTCAGGCTGGAGCGCCGCCCGTGCAACTCCTAAAGCCGGACGATCTGAAGGCTTTGAGACAACATGTAAGCATCAGAGACACCGTGACGTGTTTCCACTCAATGATAACCTCATTGCGCAGTTCCTCTTCGTTCAGGTTGAACTATCACAATGTCTTCGACCGACATCCAGTTGGAAAATTACACATATGAGATGCTGAAGACACAGTGCTGACCTCTTCGTCGCAACCAGAGCCTCGACACAGATTTCAACACTTCGTCCGCGAGGAGGTTCGCGACAGAACGTCTTCTACTTTCTCGAAGAAGGAGAATATGAAGGAGAAGAAGGGTTGTGGGTTGAAGATGAAGATGGAAATGAAACGAACATGAGGACTATGATGCATCCGCAGTCAGAAAGGTGTCAGCGCGGAAGCTATTTACACACGACCTTGGAGCAAATCTAATTTCAATCATCCGTGGAAAAGGACTTCCGGAGATGGAAACAAGGCCGAGAGCAGATACAGCAAACATCAGCAGGCTCATCGTCCAGACAACGCTCTTCTTCTCTGCCACGCAGCATGCTCTTTCAACAGACATGGAATGACACCGCCGCATTGCCATCCATTGGCCGCCTTGATTGCGCCATGGACACCCCAGCCAACCTGCAATCCATTGTCACACATGTGTGCAACAAAGACTGGTTCGGTCGAACCTGCCAGATTCTATAGCCAAAGACAGCAGACCATCGATGAAGCCTGACGACCACACAAAATTGAATATCGACAGCCTCCTCACCATCGCTGACTATCAGGTTTCCCCCGCAGAGAGGTTCGAAAACTTCGCGGGAGGGATGTTCCTGGGCGCGGCGTGCGACTCTGACCCGCGCCTCCCGCTATTGGTATACATCAGATGCCCACGAGAAGAACACTTGAACAACAAGGTCAACGACTGTTACGGAAGGAGGAACTAAGATCAGCGGCCCTGGGGAACAGCGTCCGGGAGTGGCTACCAGGAGCCCAGTGGCGATGCTGAAATTCCTCAGGCAAGCGCGGAATCCAAATTCGACACAACCGAAAACGGCACCACGACATGCCCAATCAATCGGTATCCTCACTGAGTCAGTTCCATTGACCCATCGACGACAAGACTATTCTACTTGCGATACGTAGCCCTGTTCGGCTGTAGGACAATTTTCACGCAGTGAGAGAATCTATAGTTTCACACAGGACAGTCCTGTCCTTCACTTCCAAGGAGGGATCAGGCAAAGAAGATGCGACGTGTCAGGTACGCCTCCCTCTTTCGCTTTAGGATCATGTGCGCGAAGTCGATTTCAGGATGCGTTGCGCTTGGTAATTAGTTCCCAGTTGCCAGACGAACAATCCAATCGCATCACAAAAGTGACTGCGACCAAGTGAATCTAACTTTGGATGGCTACGGCGTACAACTTTGAAGCTACGGCGCACAGCGCTAAGCCAAGTGTAGCCTGAATGCAACACAGGAATTCGATGCAGGTGTTCAAAAGAAGTTTGTGTTTGTTTTGTGTTTTCTTTTGCAGTCATTGAGCCCCACATAATCTCACTTGGAAATTTGGGTCCAGGGCCCTTCTCTTTTCACACTCAGTGTAGTTATCCGTGCTGTTGTGCAAAACCTTGCGGCGCGCTCACTGTGGTATTTTGTTTACAAGAATATTTCTCAGGGACACCCATTGGTCAATACATGCACTCGGTGTACATCAAAGGATCCTACTGAAATAGACCTAGGGCCACAGAGCACCGTTACTGTAGTGGACACTTCCTCCTGAAAGATCAATTGCTCCAGGTTTCGGACTCACCCCCCCCTCCCGGGCAACCGGAAGCTCGGGGGACCTGAGCACAGGGCGGCGGGGCCCGGCGATTGGGCCAACAGCCAAAATCCGGGAACCTTCCCTTTTTTGTTTTGTGGTTGTTGTTTACGAAGGGTTTGGAATGGTTTAGTTTGGGTAGATTCGCCTTTGACCATTGGCTTTGGATTCCGGAAAGCAGGATCTGGGGTCCAGAGGCACCTGACCTGTTGGGACCCCTTTCAGAGCTGACCGCGTCATGTCCGGAGAAGGAGGTTCATCGTGAATGTTTTTGGTTCCACGGGTTCTATATGTTTTTCTGCACTAGTTCCTAACTAGGGTAAAAAAGAGATTCCACCCATGATGACAGCTCGTCAGGGGTTCTTAATGCCGGGTTTGTGAACTGGTTTTCGGTAGGTTGTTTTGCAGAAAAGCAAAGGAAAGCCGCCCAAACCCTGGATTCTTATGATTGCAGAGACGCCCAGATGATTGTTGCCCCAGAAGCGCTGGGCCAAGCCCAAAGCATGTCCGTGGCCTGCTCAGGAAATCAGTTTAGATGCTTGGATGCAACTACCCTGCCCCGAAACCCCTCCCCGCCTTTCCATCCAAGGGCACACAGACACACACACACAAACACGCCGACGCACACACACACAGACGCACAGACCTTCCCCCCCCCTCCCCTTCAAGAGTTGCCAGGCAGGGACCCCCCCCCCTCCCCCTCATCCAACTGCCAGGAGTCCAAGAGTTTAGA